TCGCATGAGGCCCAAAAAATTGTCAATAACAAATTCTTTGTTCTTGAGCCACAACTCAAGAGAGCAAACTTAGAGCCAAATTCCTAAGCTTCCTAGTTTCCAAAACCAAAGCAAATGATGGCCCAGAAATTCACACTCGTTTAGACATAAAACAACTGTTAAACAGGTTCCTCAATCTTCTCATCAGTAATCCAATGTTTGAAATGTGAGTAAATGCAAACAGCAAATTCAAGCAGTCTTTCTTTGCTTCTCTCTCTTTCACTCTCTAACAGCACATTCTAGTCATCTTTTGAATCCAAAAAATTCTTTGTACCTATTTCCTTAATCAGCTTCAAACTTTTCCCTTAATTAAAATAAAAAACCCCCAAACTCTTTTGCTCCAATCCTCAAGTACAAAATCCCTAACTTTCAGCTTATAACTTACCCTAAAATTACCACATTGATCAAATATGTCATACCTAAATCTCTGTACCAGAGCCTAAATCTGAAATGCCCAAGAAAGGATTGTTCATCATTCCAGTGTTTCACTCGGTGCCAGTTCATTCATCTATTAAAGTTTATTAGGATCGTATCGATTCGAGTAGTGAACAATAATGTGCCTCACAGACATATACACAAATACTAAGCCCCTTGGGAAAAGAAGACCAACTAAAGAAAGCATAATTACTCTAGAAGGAAATAGCATAAAACAAGTAGGAACATGTACTTATAATGGCTAAATTTTTAGAAACTAGCCTATAATAAATAAAACAACATTGATGTGGAAACCTAAACGAAACAAAGCAATTCTATATAAAAAATAATGTCCTACCCAAGCAATTCTATATAAAAGAAATAATGTCTCAACAAGCTAGAACTCTTACTTTACAGAAGGACTCAGGCCCCATTTGCTTTTCCAACATCTGGATGACAGCAACCTTAAGTAAAATCAAAGCAATCAATTACACAGAAACAAGAAAATTCTATATACATGCATAAAGACACAATTAAGTAAAAGAAATATATAGAAGTTTAGAGTGAACTTACAGCCTTCCATGATCGTATTTTTCCATATATACCAATACAATTGGTCCCATACAAATCCTTACAAGAAGTAGAGGAGCTCAAAGTAGTTGCAGCACTCTCATCTGCTTTACACACAGCACAATTTGCCTGTTCCATGGACAAGACAGTGATAATCTGGACATAGAAACATATGCAAATGACATCTAGATTTTATCTTCTTTAACGTATAAAAAAACAATCTTTGAAGTTCAAAAAGAAAAAATAAATAAAACAGCAAGCCAAATGAGAGGACATCTTCCCACCTTAAAATATTTAACTAATTAAGAGAGCAAAATATCAAACTCTGGATGCAAAGTTCTAGATACACCCATAAATATTCCAACAAGAAGACAACTTCTGAAAAAAATGCACAATGCACCTTTCAACTCATGCTAAAAGATAAAAACCATGTTAGTTGAATTAGCCAATCTGCTCGAAAGCATATTTTGCAATCCTGGTTAACCAATTTGCCTCTGATAAGAGGCACCTTGATTGCAGTGAGACAAGCCCATTCTGATACAGAATGGGCCAAGTTTAAATTGCCTAAATAGTTCAAAAATTATAATTCTTTCTAAATATAAAACTACTATATCATTTAAGAGTATGATTATAATTTAAGTAACACTACAATTTTATTCTTTTTAGTATTTAATTTTTATATTTGTATCAATAGTATTATTTCCTCCTATTAATATTAGTTTTCTTAATCTTATTTCAAAAAAAAATATTAGTCTTCTTAATTTTATTTTTAAAAAAAATATTTGTCTTCTTAATATTATTTCAAGGAAAAAAAAATGAGTCTTCTTAGTCTTCTTAATCTAATCATATTCGTAAAAGGTTACGTAGGAAGCTTTTGAAATTTACCTTTTGAGACAGATTCAGCTATTTCAACAAAATATATTAGAATTCTCTCAACTTACAGTTAATGTAATGAAATCAAACTCCTAAGTATCATGTTAAGACACTCTATATGTAATGTCTAGATCTTTATCCCCAAATCTTTAAGTAGGTAAATTAGCCCTAATTTTTCCTACTCAAGTTTATGTCCCATTTTTTCCCTTTTTTTGGAGCTTCGCCAGTTTATACTCTTTGAATAAAGGAAAAGGAATAGTTGCAAGAATCCCCATATAACAGAAAAAACAAAAGGAGATGAAATTCTGAAATCCATGTAAGCACAAAGTGAGTAACCAAAAAGTCAAAATTAATGGAAGTACCAACACAAATCCTAACATAACAAAGACTTCTCAAAGAAGTGGCCCCTCCTAGCTTACAAGTCAACTCAGTGCTAACAATTTATCAAGGTAACGGAAGATCTTGAAAATTTTACACCAGAAATTAGTATGTTGTTTATGAAGCCCCCAGTAAGAAGCAAACCTTGTATCTGCGGTAGCGTGCCTCATTGTTTCCTAAAAATTTCTTGATAAACATATCTGTCAAAAAACCAGCAAGACCATCGAGCAGCCACTCTGATACCAAGCATTAAGCAATCATGAGGAACAAAACAATATATTTTGTTATGAACTTAAGCAGGAGAAACGAAAAAGTAGGAATAACCACTGTCTTGGTTTACATTGCACAAAAGACAATATGCCACCAGCCTACCATCATTTGGTGACTCAGGAGTGACATAGACTCCAAACCATTGTCTTGCAAGAGCAAAAGCAAGTTTAATGCGGGTGTCTATGATCTGTTAAGAGAAACACGGAACTTTCAGCAAAATGCTGGAACAGAATTTGTAGTATGCACACATGTCATGCAGTTCGAATTACTGTTGAGCAACAGAAATATATTGCAGTTTTAGAATCCAAGTCTCAGACATAATTCCTTTTTTGCAGTTGAAATTGGCATTTTGGAATTCCTAAACACATACTCAATCTCCACAAAGCCAACTAAGCAAGAGTCAACAAACATCTAACCTAGTAAGGGGGCATCCAGACTACACAATTAGCTCATATTCACATGCAATATTTCACCAGGAAGTAATTATTCATTTAGCTGGGTTATTTCAGTAAATTCTGGAACTACTTTCAAGTTAAACTTTCAAAAGCTAATTTCTCTTTGATTGATTTTCTTCAAATAAAGAAAAAAGATGTGCGATAAACAATTATAATTACTTTAAAAATGGAGAGGGCCTGCTGGGGTGGTTATCCAAGAGAACTGTTTTATGATTGAGATCCCTAAATTTCTCCAAGTTATTTACATAGCATAATTACCAAACTCAAAATGTTGCTATACATTGTAAGAACCATGTCTTTATGTAAGGTTGGCAAACCTGATCAATAACTCTCTCATCAAATAAAACTTGAGAACTGAAAATGCTTATAGAAGCTCCCAATGTCGACGAGGATACAGCCATCTCAGGGGGTAAAAATACTTGCTTATATGACCCAAAAGGGAACTTTGCATTAAGATAGTCCTCGTAATAACTGTTGACGTAAGATGTCCAACAAACAAAATTAACAATCTCAATTGCTGAAATAGATATACAACTGGCACTAAAAAGAATTTAAATTTGACAAACCTGAATGCTTCATGGAAAAATTCCACAGTATTACAAAGCTTCGGCAAATTAGTAGGCAAACACATATGTGATATGATAGCATTATAGCGGTCGGGAAGGATTTCAAATGGTGCAACTGCCAAAGATATCCATCGTGCAGCAACAGGAAAATTTAACCTGTAGACATATGTTTTGCGAGGAGGGTCATCCTTGCTAAGAACCTGCAAATAAATGTGTAAGTTTATGTCATGAAATCATCAAGAAATCAAAACCAATAAAATTTTGGTGAGATCAAATCCTTGAAGATGAAGTTTGCAAAAATTGCAATCTTGATCATAAAGCACCTTCCCAATCCAATGTGTAGCGGACTTTTTTGTGAGCGTGAACCATATTCTCTTATGGGGCATTTAGCTTGTTGAGGAGGATATCCACTTTTAGTGCTCGGATTGCATCCCCTTGGTACATCTTTTTACACATGATCTACTTTTCTTCTCAAAAAAGATATCCTACTCAACATCATCAATCTTATTAAAGTCAACTCCCTTGATAGAACAGCTAGCTTATCCTCCAAATTACAAACTTTTCTAGGAGACCTGATAACAAAGTTCAGATTTCTATGTTTGTTTCATCTCATCTCCTTTGCATATTCTAGATTGGCTCAACACTAGTAATACCATCTCCCTCCTAGAAGGCAAATTCTACATCTAAAACCACCATAGCCTTCACAAAGGATCTTCTACCACCTATCCAGCCAACAAAGATCCCTCCCAATCTCGACAACCACTATTTGCTAATGATTTACCTATGAACTATTAGACAAGGTAAACATCAAGAGAGCTAAACAACACTAAATCTAATGAAGTGGAGGGGCAAGTTTTAGAATTGCATTGGCAAATTGGGAAGCTTGAAAGTTTCTTCTTCTCGTACCAGAAAGGGAAAAACTCTTCCTATGCCACAGCTCAATTGACAAAGCCTTGATTTTAAAGATGCATACTGTGAGTGTGAATTAAACACCCGACCTTCAGATCTTCATTCTGATACTCTCCCAACTGAGTTATCCCCGTAAATCATGCATGCACCAATTGGAATGGAACCTAGGTCTTAAACATGTAAGGCTAGAACCAAAACAATTAGAAAGAGTTAGGAGCTTGGCAATAAGGTTTACTCCTTTACATAACATAAATGAAAATCTAACCCTTTAAATTATCACAAGCAGCGAGCTACAGGTCTAAGCTTCAACATATATTGAGCAAAGATAATCATGAAAAACTAACTTACTGTAACTTTGTTCTCAAGAAATTAAAATCATTTAATTTTAAAAAATATACAAACATCACTTCCACATTCAATCATTAAAGCTGTTTACATGACAAGTTTATGTGAAAAGTAGAGGTTCTTCTCAGCCTTCAAAGATGATGGTCCTTGAATCAAAAAACCATGCAACGAACAATCTTCAAGACAGAATAAACTTCTCTATCAGAAACCCTCTTAATTCTTTTACCCCTCATTGTCCCAAAAGAGGAATAAACCCACTTAATTTTTTTACTCCTCATAGTCCCAAACGAGGAAGATACGAGACCAAGCTAAAAGTTGTCTTGGTGTTTGTTTCAGAAAATATCCCAGACCAAGCCCAAAACTCAGTTCTCATGAAAATCCTTACCAGCAACGGATAAATCTCAATTTTTCTGCTTCCAGAAATAAATATCCAAGAATTTTTGTACTTCGTCATAGAATTACTCTCTTTCAAAAGTGCGAAAAGAAACTGCTTCTCAATGAATTAGATTTCTCTTTCCATATTAATAGCAACAAGTTTTTATTTCAAAAAAAAATAATAGCAACAAGTTTTACTCAGAATTCCTATTCGGAAAAAAAAAACAAGATTCTATATTCTTCTTCCTGAAAATTAAAATATTTAAAAAAAAAATTCCTCATATTCAAAATCACAAACACACCCATAATTTTAAGTTCACCAAATTTATTAGCCCAAAATATGTCTCTACATACACTTGAATTTTTTCATTACTTATTACTAACATTTATATCCAGGGAAACATGCAATGCGTTCATTCATTCTTAACGATAAACATGTAGAGACCCCACAGATTATTTTCAACTTGCTCACCTGGTACAGTAAGTTTCCAGCACTAACAGCCACAAGATTCTGGGCAACTGTGAACTCCAAATCATAACTGAACAGACAATTGACCATTAAATGAGACTCTGGAGAAATTACCAAATTAGTATAAGCAACAACTCTAAATAAATATAAACACCATGATGAAACATGTTACCAGCAACACTGATATTCATCGTCTATGCAAGGAAACCAGCACCGTGCACGCCTTATCTGATTATCAGTATGTAGTACATTGTCCTCGAAATGAATACCTGTCTCAGCTTTCTCCACCCAATAGTTAATTCGAACCAATTTGACGTTCTGCAACCCAACATTAACATTCATTAGTAAACCACCAGACGAGTAAACTCCATCAAAACAACTAGCTGCTTATAACAGTAGCTACTAACTCATATCAATGTTACAGGTGGGATTCATGAGAAAGCTACTCCTAGCAAAAGGATCCTACCTCCTCCCCAAGCGGTCCAGCTTCCTTAAAAGCCAGAAGTAATACTATCAACCAGGTAAATATGGAAATTATCATTTCTCCACCAATCTTAACAAGTAAAGATTTTAAAATCCAAAGTAGTTCTTGAGAAACTAGATTTTTGATTGGTGGATCCTTCAAGGAAGGAAATATATGTTGTCCCCGAGAACATACATTAGGAGTGAAAAAAGACTCATATGGAGCTGAAGAGAATAGAAGATCTTCTCAATATGTCTTTAAGCATCATGCTTAAAGATGTAATGGCAATACATGATCAAAAAATAAGAAACTCCGAAAGTATTTTATTAAATATCTGTTCAAAAAGATAGTCATAATGCTTCCTAATTGAACTTCAATAAATATGTGATGTAGGACAAGTGATGGTAAAACCAAAATTATCCTACAATGTAGAGAAATCGAAAGAAAATATGGAGGGAAAAATAGAAGACTAGATAGAGGCAAATAAGGGAATAAAGGTTGAGATCTTAGAGGAAAATTAGAAGAATATTGGGCAGGTATGAAGAACAAGAGATAGAGGGACATCCTAAATCCCAAGCATCAAATCAATAACTTAACATTTGTATGATAATCATGAACGCAATCAAAATAACAATTATTAAGTTTATCAAGTAATTGTACAACGTAAAAAAATAAGTTCATTAATCGGAATACTTTATAATAGAGAATAAGTAAATAAGATCCTAATTGAGTAGGAAAAAAAAATTTTATAAACAAATGTGTATATTATGTATATGACATCAAGGGGGTACTGTTCATGTACAAAAATATTTACAGATCAGTTAGTACATTAATAACATTCCCAAAATCATCCCATCCATAGAGAATTTTTTTTTTGTAAATAACCCACCAATAGAGATTATGACCCAGCATTAGAACTCATAGAGTATGTATCCTCCTATCTAAAATTCTAGACAAATCTCCTATACAGCCATCAAACGCTCTATTGTTCATTTCTTTCTAAACAACCCAAAAATGATTAGAGGTATAAACTTTACAATTTTTGATTTCTTACATACCCCGCCCCAAGCCTCAAGTTCCTCCCTAACCGTCCCCCACAGTTACCCAGTTGATGCCCAGCAAACTATAGACTAAAGTCCAAATATTATACGCCACCAGACACCATGGTAGTAGATGGTTGCACAATTCTGCAGTATTCATGCATATATAGCAAATGTTAGCTATGATATTGCCCCTTCTCATCAGTATATCAATAGTTAAAATACATTCCCAACTCGCTTCCCAAGCAAAAAACGCAATTCTTCGAGGAGCTCTTGTTTTCCGTATATGTTGGGCCGGAAAACTAACATTTTCTCCACTGCTTCTGGCTAAGTAGCTTAAGTAGGAGTTGACGGTGAACATTCCATTGTTCTTCAGCTTCCAAACCAATTTATCTCGTGCATCATTCAACTGCACCTTAGACAATAGTTGATGAAGCGCCACAAACTCATCAATCTCCTAATCATTAAGATTTCCAGTCAGGAACAAATCCCATCCACCCCTACCTTCCTCCCCTTTAAAACACTCCACCGTCATATTCTTCCTTTGTGCAATGGCATATATTCTTGATAAAAGGTTATTGAGCCTCCCCTTTCAATCCACACATCATCCGAAAAGTGAATTCTATTGGCCCTACCAATCTCCCATTTACCACACTCTAAGAACTGTTATCTCCCTGATCCTATTTTTCTCCATCGACCCATTCCATACGGCCTCACCACCTTCCTAAAGTCCCTTCTCTCCATCTCAGTCCCCCATCTAGCCTCAATGACCATGCTCCATAACCTCCTCTCCTTCATACGATATCTCCACAACCACTTCCCTTGCAAAGTCTTATTCACCTCAACCAGCAATTTAATCCCCAATCCCTCCTTATTCGCATAATTTTTCTCGTCTTCCCATTTCATCAAATTATATTTCCTACTCTTCTGGTCATCTCTTATAGAAAACGGCACTAAATATTCACCAGCTTCTTTGTCACCTTCACAAGAATGGTCACTGCAAATAAAAAACAAATAGGAAGATTAGTAAGGTTACTTTTTATTAGCGTTAACCTCCCCCCTTATCTCCCTTAGATAAGAAATTTTTCTTCCATCCCGCAAGTCTCTTCTCGAACAACTCAATCACCAGTTCCCAAGTTTTCACATCTTTATATCTACCTCCCAAAGGAAGTCCAAAGACTTAATCGGCAATTGTGCAGCTTTGCAACCCAGGACTGCAACAAGACTATCCCCATCACCCCTATTTCCCAACTTAACCAATTCAGACTTGTTCAAATTAATATTCGATCCTAATACCGCTTGAAAACACAAAAGAACACATCTAAGATTCAAGATCATCTCCTCGTCAGGTTGACAGAAGATCAAAGTATCATCTGAAGAGAAAAGATGCGAAATCTCCACCTGCTGATCACCACTCTAGAAACCCTGAAGAAAGAAGAAGGGTATCATTAACCATTATAGCAAAAGAAGTTGTCATTATGCACACCTTCATCCACTCTCTCCGTTTTCATCCGAATCCCATCCAGCCTAACATATAATCAACAAACTTCCAATTAACATGGTCATAAGCCTTCTCCATATCAAGTTTACATAAGACACTTTTCTTTCTACTCCCCACCACCTCATCAGCAATTTTACTAGTCACCATTACTGCATCAAGGATTTGCCTACCCTCAATAAAAGTATGTTGAAACTCACCAATCACCTTCTCAAGTACCATAGACAGACTTCTGGCCAACACTTTTGAAATAAGTTTGTAGATGCACCCCACTAAGTTAATAGGCCAGAAATTTTTAATATTCTTTACCCCTTCCATCCTACCTAAGTAGGAAATAATGAACTTATAAAATCAATAAACCTATAAATACTTGTTCTTAAGTGAGCTAGATACCTTAATACATAAACATTATAATTACATAAACAAATTTTATTATCAAAATATGTTCACTTTTAGGATCTTCCTATTCTGCATCAATATGATTAAACTAAGAAATATTAATAAAGTAGAATTAGAATATAAAATTTTTAATACAAATAGAAAAACTAAATCATGAAAAAATAAAATCTTAAAGCTACAAAAAGTAAAAAAATAAACTTCTTATAAAATAAAAATTATTAAGAGAAGAAGAATTACAATATGTGAGGATAAGATACCCTCTTGAATCCTTTACATCAAGGGATTCTAAAAAGGATCTATTACAAACTAATTACAACGAAGCAAAAAACCCAAACTCAATCAAAAGATTGTCACTTCCTAATTCCTATGAAGCACAGAAAAAGATACATCTGATAGTATTCCATGAGCATTTGCATAGGGCTGTCATTATCCAAACCAAACCGGCAAGTTCAGTACCTAACTGAAAGAGATACTTTTTTTAGATAACCTAACTGATAGATATACATCCCAGTCCTCATACAGGAAATTAAGAATCGAGGAAACTGGTATGTTTCCGTCCAGTCCTATTACAGACTGTTAAATGAATTCTTTTATTTTTTTAATTTGTGGTTAACCAGAAAGTTTTTTGCAATCTGATTTCTAGTTAGTACAACATAATTAATTTTTTAATTTATTGATATTTTGTTTGAAAATAATTTATATAAGTATTCAAAAAAAATGGTCCATTTAAGTCTAGACCAAACCAGAATTTTTCTGGACTGAACCGAACCGAATGGAGAACTGTCTGTTCTGGTACAGAATCTTCTCCATGTCAGTTTTGGTCCAAAACCAGATCGGTTAGGAATTTTCTCATATTAGTTTCGGTCTAGAACTGGACCAGTACGCTTTTGGACCGTTGAACACGCCATCATTTGTCTATAAGAAAACCAAAAATGTCATCTTCTCCCATAAAATTCCAAAAATGTCATCATCTTCAAAGATCCTGTGAATTCTTTCCAACCACATTGTCCATAAACCTGCAAGTATAGCTCCCATTTATAGAGATGGCTTTTTTTCCTCAACCCAAACCCATGCATATTAGAGCTCAAAAAGCAGTCCAAAGAAGGAGGAGCTATCCAGTTTAGACCAAATGTGTCAAATAGTTGTATCCACAACTTCCCAGCCACAGCATACTAAAGAAACTAGTGATTATGTGTTTTCCCTCCTCTTCAGCAGAGTATACAGATGTTGGGAGAGAGACATTGATTAAGTCTATGTATCTGCACCAACTCATTGTTGTCTAATTGATACAGGAAAATGGGGGATGATTTGTGATTTTGAATTCCTCCATGATTTGTGATCTTGAAGGCAACAGATGCATGATGTATTAGCTCCCTCTTAATAAAATCTATGCTCGGCCATTCTCTTCAATAGCTAACATAATGGAAACACATGAATATTTATTTAGGATCATAAAATTCGGGTCGTAGGACCGATTCGTGCGTCCAGTTTCTCCTTGCACAGAAGTTCTATAGAGTGGTCTTTTGGGAAAAATGTAGAGTAATAGGAACACAAGGTGGCTTCTTGCTCCTACACCTTTTGTTTTATTCCAGTATGCAAGTTATTTTTTTTTTAGGCACCTGTGACTCATGTCCACTTTCTCCAAACCAAAAGCAAACAATTTCCTTACATTTATAAGGAGTCTTGGGATTATTAATGGAGCCTAATCTTGATTCCAAGATCAAAGGGAGGTGAGGCTGGGTTACCCTCTTTCCCCGTTTCATTTCACCATCCTAGTGGGTTTACTTAGTCGTATCCTTGCCTGTGGAAGTAATATAACTTTCGTGAAAAGCTTGGGAAGCGGACAAGATAACATTAAGATCTCTCCTTTACAATTTACAGAAGATGCAGTGTCCTCTTTTTCTTGGAAGATGACAACTGACAAAGTGATCGATAAAGTTCTCACCCTTCTTTAGATATTTAAGGCTATATCGTGGCTTAGTATTAATCTATTGAAAGGTGGCGCACAAGGCACATATAGCATTCCCTTATGCCAAGAGGGCAACACTCATGGCTTGTGAGCTCAATGGTTGTGATGTCTTATCTTGGCCTTTTACCTACCTTGGCATCCTACTAGGTGGTAACCTTGGCCTAACTCCTTTTGTGATCCAGTCGTGCATAGCAGTCAACGAAATTTGAGTGTTGGAAGAGTGGTTTGACCTCTCTTAGTGATAGGGTAATCCTTACCAAGATTTCACTATCTAGTATCTCCTTATATTTTTTTGAGTAAAAGTGTAGAAATACATTGAAATGGGACACCAAGAGGGTTCCAACTCATGTACAAAAAATTTACAAGTCAATTAACATATTTACAATTGACCCTAAATCATTATAATGGGTGATGCTATGTTCTAGTACAATGGAACTAAAAATATGGTACCATTTGCTCAAAATATTGATCTATTATTTCCTTATATTATCTCTCATTTATGATCCCTAAAAGGATGGTTGCCAAGACAGAAAGGATTATGAGGGATTTCTTATGCTCTGGATTGCAAGAGCCTTTGAGTGATAATTTGATATGGTGGGATACGTGTTGCCTTCCTCAAAAAGATGGCAAGTTAGACATGTGAACCTTTTATCTAGAAACTTGTCTTTATTGATTAAATGAGTTTTACATTTTTCTTTGAAATTGTCTTTATCGATTAAAGAACAGTTACACTTTTCTTTTTTTAAAAAAAACAGTAGAATTTATCATTTATTAATAGTTTTTTTTTTAAATAAAAAGTGTGAAATATTGTATTAACAGTGTACCAAAACAGGAGTACCACACATGTATAAAAACAAAAGAGTTAAAATATCAATGACATTTCCAAAATCCACATCACTGATAATGTCATGACCTAACAACATGATCCCAAAAGAATGCATCCATTTATCCCTAATGTTATATGAACAACTAACTTTGTACTCAAAAACTCTCAAATTCCGTTCTTTCCAGATAACCCAAAAAACAATTAATGGAATAATGTTTACAATATTTCTTTTTACATATAACTCATCCCGAGCCCAAATTTCCTTGCAGACATATAAATGTTTACATCATTTATTAATAGTTAGTTTTCTTATTTGTATTAATTGTATTATTTCCTAATCCTATTAGTATTTCCTAATTAAATTTCATTGTAAATGTTTTTTTAAAATAAAAATGTGAAAATTTTCATTCAGTAAATGTTACTTATAAGTCTTATATATATATATATATATATATATATATATATCTTTTTAATTTCATTTTTTTGGATAGATTTCACTTGTTCAATAAGATACTTTATAAGTTTCTCAATTTTATAGTCTTGTGATGCAAATCAAACCCTTAAGTTTGATTTTTAAGACTTCTTATACGTAATGTCTAAGGAATCTTAGGCGTGATGTTTAGATTTTTATTCTAAAATCCCAAATTAGAACAAATTAAACTTACTTTGTCCAAAAACAGTTTGTATTAGAGCTAAAAGAATCATACAACTAAAATCTCAAAACTTACACCAAAATAGCCCTAAAACCATCTGGAATTAGGTCATCTCTTTTTTGCGTGGGAGGCTTGTAAAGGAAGTATACTGACACTTGATAAGCTTAAGACTAGAGGCTAGATTGTGGTTAATGGGTGCTTCATGTGCAAGAAGGTTGAGGAATCCTGCTGTCACTTACTTCTTCATTGCGAGGTAGTCCACGAGTTATGGTGCCAGATTTATAGACTGATGGGAATCAATTGGGTTATCTCTAGTTCGGTTTTTGATGAGATTTGGGCTTGGAGTATGATTGATCTGAAAAAGAACATTGTTAAAATTATCCTTTTAATCTTTTTTTGGGTCATCTATAAAGAAAGGAATAAGAGAGCATTTGATAGTATGGAGAGGGAGATTAATAGACTAAGAGATTGATGGTTTAATTATTTTGTTAACATTGTATTGAGTCATGACATCATTAGAGATGAGAATTTTGAGGATGTTATTGACACCCTAAAAACTTTGTAAATTTGTATACGAATAGTACCCCATAAGTGGGTCTGTTTATATATATATTCACACTTTTTATCTTAAAAAAAAAGGAAAAAACATAGAAAGACATTAAGAAAAAAATAACAAAAAACTGCAAAAA